GTTAAAAAACTGATAAACAAAGTTAGAATTTACAATATCATAATTTTTAAGTTTATATAAAAGGATATAACGATTTACGGTATCAAACGCTTTAGTTAGATCAATAAAGACACCTAAAGTAAATTTTTTTCATCAAAAGCTTTAAATAATTCATGTATGATTAATGATTACGTAATCGGTCAAATGGCTAGATTTAAACCCACGTTGTTTATTGTATAGAATACTATTAGCATTTAATTAAGAGAAAATACATTTTACGCTCCAAAAACAAGGAAAAACAGTTAAGAACTTAGATCGGTTTGTACTTAGACACATTAGAAGGACATTTAAAAATTGGTGTAACCTGCACTTTTTAGTTTTTAGGAAAAACTCCATGTTTCAGAGATAAACTAAAAATGTGTAAAAGTGTTATTGTTAACAAAAAATGTTATGAACTTTATTGATTTAATAATGACATCACTGCTTATATCATCAAAACCTGAACTTTTGTGAGGTTTTAATAATGAAATTACTGCTTATACCATCAAAACCTAAACTTTTGTGAGGTTTTAACAAAGACACTGAATTTAATTGTTCTTCCTCTTAAAGGAAAAACTATTGAATTCAGTATCTCGGTTACTATTAGGCATAACAGGGAATTCTATAACAAAGTACTTGAAGTTTTATTTTAAACTGCGCATGCGTTTTATTCCCAATGGAAACAAAAAATAAAAAGTAAAAACTTAAATAAGTAAAGAAAAATAAATAACTAATGTTTGTAACTAATAAATTTTCGAGAAAAGGTTGTTTTGACTTTTGTCACTTAGATGTTTTGATTTTTTTTGGTTAAAATCTCAAGCGCATAATGGAAACATGTGATTTTATTGTGAAGAGGAAAATAGATATATTAGAAAAAAATGCTGAGTTGGTGATGCTTGCATTGCAATAATTTTCATTTTTGATCTTCCTTTGATTATGTTAGTCGGTCCTTCGTAAAATAAACTATGCTCATATTTACCTCTAAACAAAAGGGTTAAACATAACGGGTGGTTTCTAAAAATCCGGACATACTTTCATGGGTCATTACTCCCATAGTTTTTAAAGTAAAGATTAAATAAAAATATCATTAAAAAGAGTTTTTAGTTATTTATTTATTTTAATTAAGTTTGTCTTTAACCAGTTTGTTTCTTCGGATTTGACGAACTCGAAGACAAATTGATCCAAAAAGCAAAAATACAAAGTTAAGGTCAATTTATTTTAGTCTTATATAAAATAAAGTTTTGCCTTTCAAAATAGCCTAAAAGTCTTCAATTGAGCATCACTCCGGTACGCTTGGCGGATTGTCAAATTTTTTGACAAAACTGATGATATGAGTCTCATAGCAGTTGGTCACAGTTTTGGCATATTGCGATAAGGCCAGGTTTAAAAAAAAATACAATATTACCATTGGCATGATGAGCATTGATAAATGGCACTAATCTTCTCTTAATAAAATTCATTTCATAGATGGTTTTATTGACTGCAAGGCTCCTGGGAAAAAAGGCTTGGAAATACCTCTGTCAGAAGTGGCCAGGCAAACGAACAGCTTGGATCCAAACTTGCACTTTTTGCAAAATTTAACTCTCGGTGGAGTCTTGTATTTGTCCATAGAGTAGTAGATGCTTTTTCTATTTATCGTAGAGTACGACAGCGTGAAGACTAGTCGTCAAGGATGATCAATTTTCATTGAAAATAAAGACGCGATAAAGACGATCAATGCCGGTCTTGATTCACTCAATCTGTCTCTTATGTCAATTAGGTATACCCTGTTTTGAACAAGATATCATAATCATAAATCGTCATGTAGAAAATGACTGGACATAATCATAGATCGTGATGTAGAAAAAACAAAAAAATGTCAGGGAATAAAATCAAATAATGCTGCGATGCCAAATGAAAATGTATTCAGAAGGCCAATGTTTTTGTCCCCTAACAGAGTCATCCAAGAAATCATTACAAGATTTGAGCAGTTTCATGTTCTTGCTGAAAAATATGTCATGTTTACTCATTCAAATCTTTTGAATAATAAATATGAATCTCAGTTTCATGCTTCACGTCGAATGAAAAGGTTTTATTTCTGTTGCCACATCATAAAACAAAGCCAAAACAAGGATGAATGATGGCTCACTTGAACTTTTGCAGTTCATTATAAAATACAGTCTTAAAACCCAAATCCTAGCTAATAAAATTAAAAATGAAATATTAGATATTGAAAGAAATAATCTTTTATGTTAAAAGCTATAATAATAAAATTTGTTTTAAAAAGGTAAATGTAATAATTCAAAGTAATTTAAAAATCATTTAAAATAAGTTTATGTAAATATTTAATATAGAATTAAGTTTATTCAATTCAAACGTTGATGTTAAAATAAATCTTTCAAATGTGTATTAGTTTATTTGACTCGAACACACTTGAACATAAGATTTTATCAAGCAAAGCAAAACCAACACGTTAAAAACAAACATAAAAATCGAATCGAAACAGCACTTATAACAATTTGTATTCTTGAAATTGGATGATTGGAGATTATTTTAAAAAAAATGAATTAGGAGAACACTGTTACAATAAATAGGTACAAAATAATGCATCAAAAGGAAATCTTTTTTAGATATATTTTAAAATGTTTATATATATATATATATATATATATGTATATATATAAGAATATATATATATATATATATATATATATATATATATATATATATATATATATATATATATATATATATATATATATATATATATATATATATATATATATATATATATTCTTATATATATAAGTTCATAAAAAAAAAAAAAAAAAAAAAAAACAAGAAAGATAAAGAAAAAGAATAAAATAAGAAAAATAAATGAAATAAAGAAATATAGAGAATGAAGAAAAGAAAGAAAAAAAGAAAAAAAAAACTAAAAAAAAATTAAAAAACAAATCAAACAAGTTAACAAAAGAAAAAAGAAGCGAGAAAAGAAAAAGGAAAAACAAAAAACCAAAGTTAATAGAAAAAAAACATTCGAAAATGGAAAGGAGTTAAAATAATATATTAAAATTGCTCTGTTTTTGAAGAAAGAAAAAAGAATATTTTTTGAAATTTTATTATTTTTGACTGACGATATGTATTTGCTTAACGTGATTTACTTTTTTATTTTAATATTGGTATTTATTATGAAAACTCTATACTTTTCGTGACTAAATGTTTGTGTGTGACAGGTTTTTATTTGTGAGTATTATTGTATAATTTTTGCTTTGTTTATTTATTGTTATTTTTTAATGAAGTATTTATTTTACTTTTATTGTTTTTATTATGATTCTTGATATTAAGATTATTTTATTTATTGATTTATTGTTACATTTTTTTACAGTAATTGTTTTAGTTACATGGTAGGTTGTTACGTTTTGTCAGAACATAACTGTTTGTAACTTTCCTGTCTGTGCATTATATTCAATTGATGTTTTAAAACTGATATTGGTTTATTAGCATATAGTTTTCTTATTATTTTTATAACTTTAAATTTATCATCATTGTTATTATCATTATTATTCGTATTATCAATTCTATTTCATGGTATTTACTTAAGATTAGTTTTTAACTATTTGTAAATGACCTCGATTGTAAGATCTTTTATCGAAAAATATATATTGATTATTTGACTTTTATAGTTTCACTTTCACAAACATGAAATTATGCAACACTTTTAAAAGCATTTCTTTTTATTTTTTGTTTGTTCTCAAAATATTAATTTAAAGTTAAACAATACACATTTAGCACTTAAACAATATCGTTGGTAACAATTTTAAAAATGCCGCTCAAAATGCTGCCTTTTTTTTTGTTCAATATTTATACACTGTGTTTGGTTTTTGCATTTATAAGCGATAAAAGTAACTCTTCAGGTATACGTTCATATTATTTGTTGTATTTGTTTAATATATATATATATATATATATATATATATATATATATATATATATATATATATATATATATATATATATATATATATATATATATATATATATATATATATATATATATATATATATATATATATATATATATATATTGATATAATGTTTAATATATATAAAGAGCTCCCACGCAAAGCCAGACGAAACCATATTTAAAAATTTTAAAAAATCCTAATATTTCTAATTCTTTGATTCCTATTGAGAACATTCTAATGTCATAAACATAAAAAATCTCCTTTAAAAATACTTTATTAGAGGTTTTTTATGAAGGGGTAAAGTTTGGATTAGTCTGTATTTGTATTTGCACCAAAATCAGGAATTGTCTAGTTTTGCATCATTTTCTCAGCATAATTGATAACTATGCTAGTATTACAAAATGAACTATTATAATAACTATTAATACACTGCACTGTTTTCTATTAATAGCATCGTGTCTTTAACTTTATTTCACTGCAGCGAATTTTGACTATTATCACGGCTTATTGTTGTTGCACAAAGTCCACACCGCTATATTAAACTTATGTCAAACACACGTCACGTCATCTTTGGTACAGCAGCTGTTGTCATTTTTAGGATTATCTGTATTAGTAATAGATTCAATGTCTGTCAGTGTCTAGTTCAAAGCTAGCTTTGGAACACTTTCCCAGCTTTCAGAAAACTTCATTTTAAAGAGGTTTTTTTTGTCCGCAGGTATACAAATCCTTTTTTTTTTACAAATTTACAGTACCTACTCAAATTATTAGACTCAAATTTAATTTTCAACCTTTCGTCTTTTTTGTTTAAAAAAAATGCACTAGAAGCAATCACAACTTAATTTTTTTTACATAACCTATATATTGACATATACAAAGCATGTTATAAAACCTAGTCCTTTGTGGTGAGTCCTTTCGACTTTAAAAGAGCTTTGATACGTCTTAGCATACTATTTATGCACACAGAAATTAATGCTTTAACATCTGAATCTCGATACCATACTTCAATGAGTCGTTCTTTGAGCTTTTGTTTACTTGTTACTATGTCAAGACTGACTTTGCGTTTGACAGGCTCCCATAGATTTCAATAGGGTTCATATCTGGAGAATTGCCAGGCCAATCAAGAAGCTGGATACTCTCATTAGCAAGGAATGTCTTTATGGATTTTGCAGTAAGGCATGGAGCACCATCTTGCATAAAAATTATTTTTTCACCATTTGGAAACCACTCTCGTATCTAGAATCAGCAAAGTCTGTAGGACAGTCTTGTACTGATCTTATTTTATTTTCCCTTGTACAATGTAAAGATGACCGGTACCCCTGCTCGATATACATAACCAAACCATTATAAATGCTGGGTGCTTTACAGTGTTTACAATGCATTCTGATTTGTGTAGTTCTTCTGGTCTGCGGCGCACAAATATTGCTTTGTCTTCCAAAGTCTCAAAGGTAGATTCATCGCTGAATACAACCTGAGTAAAGTAGTCAATATTGTCGTTAAATAATTTTTCAAACATTAGTAATTTTAATTGGGGTAATAAATTTATTCAAAAACATCTTTTGAAAACTTGTAACAAGAAAATTTGTTTAAGTATATGGAGAGAAAAAATATAAAGTTTACCTTATTCCAGTCATCTTAAGAAAAAGAAGAGTTTTTCTTAGCCCAAGCAAGACGTTTTTTAATCATGACAGGCGTAGGTTTCGGCTTCTTTAGTAGTTTTCTACACTTAAATCCTAACTCAAAACTTCTCCTTCTTCAAGACCCAAGTGAAATGTTGCCTTGGTCTTTCAAAACGCTTTTCAGTTTTATTGCTGGCGTTATCAAAAAAGTTCAAAAAAGTTATTGAACAAAATCTTGCGATTTTGTTCAATAACTTTTTTGATTTTTCTGTCAACTCTAGTACTTGTGATTCTCTTTCAACCACATCGACATTTTCTATGCGGTTCTAATTTGACCCCCATTTTGAGTTTGGAACTTATTCTTCTTACTGTAGCCTGCAAGACTTTTACTATTTTTGCTATACTCTTTTAGGTGTCATCTGTTTCTTGCAGAAGAACAGCTGCTTTAGCTAATTTACGTGGGAAAACATCACTTAGTTTACCCATTATTATTCCTAAAACAAACGCAATACTCAATAAGTTATTATGTGTATTAAAAACAACTGAAATTGCATTATTTTAGTTATAAAGACAACCTACAACAATATAAGCCTCTAAAAATTACATAGTTAGAGTTTTGGCAAAAAAAATCAACTGAAAGTTTTTAATTTTATATTAATAAAATTTACAGTACCTTTTTATAAAGGTGAAAATTTTTTTTTAAAGTATATATATTTTACAAGTTTTCTATTTTAAAACAAAAAATGAATACTAAGAAGTTAAATTACACATAAACAACAAAAAGTAAACAGCAATAACTTCTACCTATCAAAGAAAATCCAAATATTTAGCAAAATCTGAAAGTTTTATTCTTGAATCCTATAGTTTGAGTAGGTACTGTATATATTATATGAGTTTGTAAAATAAGGATAAGTGCTAGAAGTCTTAAATAGTAAAAATTGCAAATATTCTGCTTCATAAGTTTTTGTGAAGATTTTGAAGAGTAAATTAGGAAAAATCAGACTTTTTATAATCATTATAAATAATAATTTATAAATCTAAAATAACGAGGCAATCTTTGCAGATTCTAACTTTTCTTGTGTATTATGTACATATTTTACATGAAAGATCAGTACCCTAGTTGCTAGCTTGGTACAATATTAGTAAAATATTCATCTCAATATTCGTACATTATTTATCTCAATATCGGCAAAATGTTGTTAAAAATACTGCACCAATATAAAATGTTTACATTTTTATATGTATAGCTAATATTAATTTAAAAAATTGGCAATACATAATCTGCAATATAAATTATTACATCATGCTATAATGCATATAGATTTTTAAATTATGATCAATTAAAAAAAACCGCACGGAGTTAAAAACAAGTCATTTGTAATTAAATACAGTATAAGTATAAATATGCGTACTTATAATTTTTTTTGTTCTTTATTTATTATTTAGTTTATTTAGTTTATTTAGCTTATTTAGTTCTTTATTACAATATTTATGATACATGTGTTACAAATAATATAAAAAAAGAAAAGATAACAACTCAAGATATCGTTAAGAAATAAAGTATAAAAAATAAAAATAAAGAACGCGGATACTCAAAGAAGACCATAAGGTCTTATTTTGTATAGGTCTAAATTTTTATATTAGAGATATACCTCTGAATATAGAGATATATCTCTGAATATAGAGAAACCGCTATTGAAGAAATTAGAACTTTATTATTATTATTATTTTTTTTATGTTTTTTTTTTTTGTTGTGGTGTTTACGCCTTGCATCGATCATATATATAAAATTACTGTGTTACGGTGTTACGCCTTGCATCGATCATATATATAAAATTACTGTGTCTTCCGAAAAGTTGACTCGTGCGAATAATAATGTTCATAATTTTCAAAATAAATCTTTTGCGCACACTGAACTTTGTCGAAAATAATCACTGAATATCATTAATTGCTACATATTATTCAATTTATATTACTGTATATAATCAATGTAATTACATTTCCAGACTGAATAAAGTACTTTTCCAGATCGTTCAAAAGGTCGTGCAAAAAGACCTAGATACGATGGTTATCGCTGTGTGTTTAGCCAAGTTATGAAATTTCCGTTTTACGCCTCTGACAGAAAAAACGCCAAGCCACTGCCAAATATATATATATTACCGTTTACTCTTTTAATTACAAAAACGCCTAGCCACTACCAAAGGATGGTTCACCTCCAAACGTAGCCTACGTACATATATTGGCAGATACATCCGATCTTTTTTATTTATTTTTTCATATATATATATATATATATATATATATATATATATATATATATATATATATATATATATATATATATATATATATATATGTATATATATATATATATATATATATATATATATATATATATATATATATATATATATATATATATATATATATATATATATATATATATATATATATATATATATACAGTGCCGGCCTTAGCCTTTTTGCCGCCCTCGTGCGAAATTTGTCTTGCCGCCCCTGAAAATTTTATAAACGTGCTGGTAAATTACATGGAAAATAATAACAAATCGAATTCAAAACTAATACTTTGCAATAAAACGCTACATACAAAGAAACATTTTTTGTTTATGTTTTACACAAAATACATTTTTTAAATTAATCTTACGAGCCTTCTTATCACCAAAATCTTTGATTAGGGTTGAAAAATCAAGATTTTCAGCAATATTCTTTTCAATCGATAGGGTTCCTAAACTTGAAAGTCTATCCTGCGACGTTGACCGCAGATAGGTTTTTATTAGTTTCATTTTGAAAAAGCTTCTTTCTCCACTCGCTACACTGACAGGTATTGTTAGCAAAATTCGCATTGCAATCCATGTGTTTGGATACAAATCTTGCATTTTGTGCTGTTTTATAAAGTTTAAAACAATAATAGGAGTAATTTTATCCTTGAACATTTCAGAAAGAAAAGGTTTAATGCTCATCAGTTCATCGCAAAGGAGAATACCATTAATGTCCGATTTTAGATTTACGGTAAGTTACTTTGAAGAGCTAAACATGATTTTAGAATTTCTTCTCTTTTTTGCAAACTATCGACATTATACAAAAAACCCCAAACTTCGGAATAATTCTCCAACTGTATAAATCTTTCTCTCATTGAAATTAAAGATGTGTCTAAAAGAGGATTGAAGAAATCGATTTCTAATTTTTTTTCAGGAGAAAATAAATAAATCCCATCTTGGGCTGGTTCGTCAAAATGGCGTTTCACTCGTATTATTCTTTTAAGTGGTTTAAAAACAGGCTCCACTTGTAATTCTATAGCCAAATCCTTTGCTTTTATAATTGCATCTTTAAAGCCACATTTTCTATAGTTTTCTAAAAATGAACAACAGCTTTTCAATAACTTTGCACATTGAGTGATGTCCATGTCTTTTTCTTGAAGAGTTTTACTAACAATATTGACTTGAAAAAGAACGTCATACCAGACAATTAAAGAGACAAGAAAGCTAAAATCTTTTAATTGCTCTCCTAGAGTTATCGCTTTATGTGCAGTTTCAGGATTACATCCTTCAATTTCTGACAATGCTATCAAAGCGTCATGTACATCACCAACTTGATAACGAACGGCTTTAACACTACTTAATTTTGCTTCCCACCGCGTGTCACAGAGTTTCTTTAAATGCAAAATTTTAACATGATCAATTAAAATTTTCCATCGGCTCACTGAAGCTGAGAATAGAGTAAACAATCTCTGAAGAATACCGAAAAAAGCTATAGATTTTACTGAAGACCGTGCAGAGTCACTTATTACCAAATTTAAGCTATGGTTGCCGCAAGGAACATATAATGCTAAAGGATTAAGATTTAAAATCCTTTTTTGTACACCATTAATCTTTCCTTTTATATTTGATCCATTATCATACCCTTGACCTCTGCAGTTAGAGATTTCAAGTCCATGCTTAGTTAGCAACTCGATTAAAACCTCAGTAAGTCCTAAGCCTGTAGAATCAGAAACAGAAAAGAATCCTAAAAAGTACTCTTTAATTTCCACTCTAATGTCTAATGACAAGTCAACAATTCGAATAGTAAGAGAAAGTTGTTTTTTTCTAGAAATATCAGGTGTACAATCAGCAATGATTGAATAGTAAACGGCTTTCAAGACTCGGTATTTCATCATTAACCTTTTGAGACATTAAATCTATTAACTCATTTTGATATTTTTCCCGCAATAATGGTCTGAAGTGTCACCTTTTATTGCAAGTGCTAAATGCTTTTGCATCACAGGATCAAATTTTGTAAGCATCTGTATTAGTTTTAAGAATTTGCCGTTTTGAGGCGTAAACAGTTTATCCGAATTCCCTCGAAAAGCCATATTATTTTTAGCTAGGTAAAGAGTGATATTCATCAGCCGAAGAAGAACATTTTGCTCTTGCAAACTGTCTTTTTCTATAATTTTAATTTCTTCATTATCTATAGTTTTTCCAGTTTTTAATCTTATTTCAGTTTCTACCCACTGTTGATAACATTTCATATGAGAGACGCTGTTTTCATGAATTCCCAATGTTTCAGTTAAATGTCTCCATTTCTTGAAAACATCAGAGACTAAGTTTGACTTTGAATTATTATCAAAAAGTAGACAGCAAAAACAAAATACGGAGTTTTTAGAATCTGAATAAACCAACCATCTACGGCAAAAGGTTTCTCCATTCGCAAGCTTTCTATTAAAAAATTAACAAAGTTCTCAAAACACATTCATAAAATTATTAAAGAAATAAAAAAAAAGTAACTAAACTTACTGAAAATTGTTTAAATCGAGTCAACTTAACATTTAATAACAAAAAAATAAAAACTTTTGAACTTCTTTATAAAAAATTTTTTGCAACTTTTCGAAATGACTCCTAGGGGAAATAACGCACAAATGATACTACAAATTACAATAGAAAATCGTGCGTTAATTAAGTAAATGTAGTAATTTTTTGTCTTCAAATTTAAAATCGTGTTTTTTTTTGCAAAGGTCGTTAAATCTTTTAATTTACTTTAAATTTTTAATATACTACTGGAAAATTAAAACTTGTGACTAATAAAATTCTCCGCTCCTATTTACTTGCCGCCCTCGACCTCGCCCCCCCCCCCTTAAAAGCCGGCGCTGTATATATATATATATATATATATATATATATATATATATATATATATATATATATATATATATATATATATATATACAGCGCCATTTTTTATTAATATTACTATTATTATTTTCTATGTTTCTATTCTTGTTATTTATATAATTTTGTTCAATTTCTTTTTATTACAAAATTAATAAAAAGTAATTTAATTTTATAAATTAAATTAAAAATAAACATACAATATTACAATAAAAGAGTTCCAAAATTTAAAAACTAATTCATGTTAAATAATTCACTAGGTTAAACATGTTAAATAACTGTTTGTTGATAAAATAATTGAACCCGTCATTTCAAAAAGGGCACAAGTCACGTTTTTTTCAAATTTCACTTTTTAATGCAATTTTATTTATTCAAGTGTTTTACATATTGCCTTTGAAGGAGAAACATTTTTATATGCCACAAGTCAACTTTAAATGCAAATGAAAATTAAAGTCTGTTTGAAAATGACACAAGTCCCGGACTTATGCCTTTTTCAAGTGAAACGAAGCGCAACTGTAGTGACGTAATCTCACTTTATTTGTAACAAAAATGAAAAATCGCGAACTTGCTGAAAATGCATATAGATCTAAAAAAAGAGTGTCAGGTATAAGTAACAGTGGAAGTTATAAACACGAAAAAATAAAAAAAGCCAAAATTGCTCGAGAAGATTATAAAAACCACATAGGAAATGATGTGGCACCAAGTCAAATGGGTGCTTCTTGCAGGTTAGTTTTTTGTTCTTTAGAGTATGACTATATTAGTTCTCAAATATATGCTTATTTACTCATGTTTTACCACCAATAATTGGAGGTAAAACATCTTGATATATAATTATTATAATATTACCTCAATAATTTTATTTATTTACAGATGTAATTCAAAGTGTATGGAGCTTGTATCTGAAGACTTTATAGAAAGTACAATTCAGCTTGTTAACAAATTCGATTGTAAAAATGCCCAAGACACATACTTGCAGTCATTGATTGAAAAGAAGGAAATAGAGAGAAGATGGTTTAGATCTAAAGAACCTAAGAAAAAAGAATTTTCTTTTATTTATCACATTAAAATTGAAGGTGTAATAAGAAAAGTACGCAAGAAAGCTTTTTGCTGTATGCATGGAATTTCTATGAAACAAGTTAGACGTTTACAGAGGTAAATCTCAGTGATCACGATGCAACGCATTACCTGGAGATACATCAACAAAAGTACGTGAGCATATCCAAACGAAGTATGTACCTTTGTGCTGAATTATATATTAAAAAATATTTGCAACGAAGCCAAAGAACTGCACCTAAATTTTTTTGATGGTTGTGCAGGCCAAAACAGAAATCATGCCACGGTCCGAATACTTTTATCACTGGTAGCTGAACTAGATAGCAATATAAATGAGACACAATATTACATACCAAGAAGAGGTCACTCATTCTTGCCAAACGATAGAATGTTTGGAACAGCAAAGCAACATTCAAAAAAATATTCGTAATTACACACCAACAGAATATGAAAATCTTTTAGCTGAAGCAAGCGAAAAATTTGAAATTAGAAGGCCCAAAACTGAAGATATTATTGATGTAAAAAAATGGTGGCCAAACCATTATAAGAAACTTGTGCCATCTGTGGATTCCTATGGAAAAGGAGTACCCACGGACAAAAAGCTTACTTTTGATATTTCTAAAATCTCACATTTCACGTTCTCTAATACCACACCAGGTTTAGTGAAAACACGTGAATCCATAGATTGTTTAGTCAGTTATAATTTCCAGCTATTACAAAGGGTGGGTACCCGGTCAACCTTACCATTAAGTAATATTCCTGTATATGTTGGAAAATTGCCTATCAATAAAAAAAATATATCAGATTTAAAGAAAATATGAAAAAATATATTCCATATTCAATAGAAGAGTACCAAAACATCTATACAAAGGTTTTTGCTTCGCCAACAACTTCGGCAAACAATGAATTCCAAGAAATAAGTGATGATTACCTAACAATAATTGTTTTTATGTAATAATAAATCATTATTATTTCGATAATCTTTGGTTTTTTATATACAAAAAAGCGTTCGTTCCGAAAAAGACATAAGTCCATAAATTTAAATTAGAAATATATGTGTTATATATTATTTTTTATAACAAATAAAACTCTAAAAACTTATGTATGATTTTTATTTATCTACTCTTATCTTTAGTTTCTTTAGCACCATAGACTTTTTTTCTAATAAACTTATTTTGGACTTGTGCCCTTTTCGAAATGACGGGTTCAATTAATAAAGAAATAAAAAAGAATATACATTATATAAAATACATATACTAAAATAGATAAGAGATTTAAAAAAATTTAAAAGTAGATTAGTATATATTCAGTTGAAAAAATGAGTTTTTTGAGATTTTGTTTAAAAGAATCAAAATTACATTCTTGAGAAATATCTTTAGAAGTATTTAGAACTATACTATTCCATAAAAATTGTCCGGGAAATGTAATAAAAAATTTTCCAAAATTAGTTTGAGAAAATGGTTGTCAAAATAAATTATCGTTCCTTAAAATATATTTATTTCTATCCTTTTGTAAATACAAGTTACGAAAAGAAACGGGTGATAGGTGGGTCTTGCATTTATACATAAAACAAAAAATATTAAAAGCATTTAACTCATAAATATTGAGTGCTTTCATATCATATAAAAGAGGCTTGGCGTGACCAAAACGGTCCTTGAAATATATAAAGCGTGCTACATGCTTCTGTTGCCGATATAGAGGTTTAAGTTTACTTTTATAAGTGCTACCCCAATTAATGTTTGCATATTTAATATGGCAATGAATTAACGAATAATATAACTAAATTAAGGTATGCTTATCAAGAACGTTTCTTATTTTGTATAAAATGCCCATACTCTTTGAAATTTTATTGCACAAGTTAGTAATATGGCTTTTCCATGTAAGATTTTCATCGATATATAACCTAAAAATCTTGTCACTAAAACTCTTTTAATAATTATTATATCGATATAAAGAAAAGGTAAGTTTCTAGGCAGCTGGTGCTTTTACCATAAGAATGAAAAAGAATCCATTTAGTTTTATCAATATTTAATGATTGTTTGTAAAATCTGAACCATTCGGAAATTTTGACTAGTTCAATGTTCATGTTGCTAAAAAGTGTAGAAATGTTATTATGAGAAAGAAATAAGTTAGAATCATCAGCAAACATAATTGTCATTAGGTTTGAAGCTTTTGGTAGGTCATTAATATATATTAGATATAGGAGAGGTCCTAATATGGTCCTAATATAATGTATATGCATTGTAAAGAAGTATTGCTAATATAATATAGATGCATTGTTTAGTTCCAAACAAATATTAAAAAAACAACTTTGCTAACTGTAAGTATCAGAGTTTTACAAGAACATTGTTTATAACTAATGTGTAACAAATGAATTAATTAATATTTATACAAACAAAGCTATTTTTGATATTTTAAATACATTTTGCTGTGACAGATCCAGGAATTTTTGGTGAGTGGTGAGAGAAGTGGGTGGGGGGTGTTGAAATATTTTTGTATTTTGTTCCAAATTTGTGTCTCCTAAAAAAAAATCATCAATTTCTAATAAATTTTAGGGGTTCCGGATTTTGGTGGTGGTATTGGGGTAAGAAGGGGATGGATGAGTGTAAGGGAATCGTACCCCTTCCCTTCTGCTTGATCCGTCACTGATATTTTTACTTGTGGGTTAATAAAATCTTAAAAATGAAAAACATTACAAAGTAATTTTAAAACAAAACACAACAAAAATTATAATATATCTTTATATTTTATTTTATTATTGATTTAATATGAATCTAAAACGGAGTTCTATAAAACAATTTCTTGCAGTTTTCAGAATGATTACTGAAGTTAAAAATCCAATAAAAGCCTATAGTTAAAAAAAATTAAGACAAGTTTATTTTCTTAACAATTTTTGTTGCGCATGCGTGCAACTTAAAATCGTACTTAAATGTGTACAACTCAAAACAAAATTTTAACCAGATAAATAAAAAAGGTTAAAGTCTTTGATCAAAATCAGTAACCTTTTGATAATAGATTGTTATTTTACAACATTGAAAAAACCAAATAAAAATAAAAACATTTTAATCATAATAAATCATATAATAATTATCTATTCATTAACATAATTTAATAAAATTTAATAATAAATTATTAAATTATCAAGTTAGTCCAAAAAAAAAATCTTTAAAAAAAGTATACAAGTATACTAAATTGTATGCTAACTTTTAGTATGCCAAGTATATTAACTAAATAATATTTTGGTCTTTTTACAAACCGCGGATTAAATTTGTAAACAAAAAAAACGGCTTCATTTTTTGTCCAATAAAATCCTGCAAGTGAGGTCGGAAAAACTACCACCTTATTTTCCCAATCTAAGTTGTTAAACAAAACCTTTCCCAACAAATTTTAAAAAAAATTTAAATTAAGAGTTATAGCAACAACGCGCATAAATAAGTTTTCTGAAATTGTGCTGCGTTAACTTTTTAACAATAACAACATGTTCAAATACTGAAATATTTTTATTAGGACAAACCCACAAAATTAATTCAGAAGTTTGCTTTGCATAAACATAAAAATCTTTAAAATACCCATGTGTCTTTAAGTGATTTTTGATATATATATATATATATATATATATATATATATATATATATATATATATATATATATATATATATATCTATTTTGTAAGATGGTTTTGTTATTTTGAGTCAACTCTGGTGACTAAAATGGTTTTGTTGTTTTAAACGCACAAGTCAGGCAACTTGTGTTTTCAAAGCAACAAAACAAATCTTAAAAAATAGTATACTTGTATACTTTTTTTTAAGATTTTTTTTTTGGACTAACTTGATAATTTAATAATTCACAAGACTTTAAACTAGAGTTTAAAGTCTTGTGAAAAACTTCCTGCATCTAGCCAAAGCCAATATATATATATATATATATATATATATATATATATATATATATATATATATATATATATATATATATATATATATATATATATATATATATATATATATATATATATATATATATATATATATATATATATATATATATATATATATATATATATATATATATATATATATATATATATATATATATATATATATATATATATATATATATATATATATATATATATATATATATATATATATATATATATATATATATATATATATATATATATATATATATATATATATATATATATATATAAGCATCTAATTCTTCGTAATTATCTTTGGCCTCAAAAAAAAATATTCAAGGACTTTATTAAATAATTGTAAACATCATGATATTGAACTCATGGCAATTCAGTTTAATCATCTTTCTGAGTATTCACAAGGAGCTTGTATATACATCGATTATTCCAATGATTGCAAGTTTATTCATATATCTTTTCTGCGGCGTTAAAATCTAATTTTTTAAAGTATTTGTAAAGTGACATTCCTTTTTTAAAGCTCTTTAAATCACTTTTTGGTATAAATTCTCTTGCTTTATTAACTCAATAAATCATTTGTTTTCCCCCATTTAAGATGATAACAACTAGTAAAAAATTGTAACAATAGTAATTTAATTTTGCAAATATAGATCAGTTATAAAAGTTTCTGTAATGCAAAGCTAGTCAAACTCCATTAGAAGATATGGCTAAAAAAAAAAATTATTTTTTTGCTAAAAGGCTTTAGAACTTCATACTCTCCCCAGAAATGATTAAAAATATCTGTGTCAATTTGTCATTTTTTCTTGAAGAAAGGGAGGCAAAAAAATTTTCTTCAATTGAGTCAAATAATTTCTGCTACTCATAATGATTTGTGTAGGATTGAAAAGATGAAAGAGTTTGATGCTGATGTTCCTCAAGCTTTTATTTCAAGCTAATATAGATACAGTTATTATCTTAATGAAGAAATGGTTGCCTTTTGTTTATCTAAAAGTCTTGACAATAAAGTTAAAAAATAGTTGCTCAGCAGTTGTTAAAAACAAGTTTACTTTTAAGTTTATCTTTAAACTTAAAAAATTTGAACCTGTTAAAACAAATGAAAATTCAAAACTTAATTATAATATTGGTCAAAATTCTTGGCTAATATTTAAAGTAGTTCCTTACTTATCAAAGTTGTTAGAAAGTCCACTTGATTTGTAGACTCATCATTCTGGTTATAAAAAAATGCAAAGGTTTATAAAAAGATTAGTCTGTGTCAATGACTGTTGTGAGAGATTAAATTGATAAAAGACTTTATCGATTCAACAACTGAAGAGGAAAACTTGAAAGATGTTTTACTAATTTTTAAGGAACACAAAGTTAATTTTCAATTTGAAATATATGTTGAGTCTTATGATAAACATATATTGAACATATATGTTTATCATAAGATTCAATATTAAAAAAAGTTTTCATATTTTCAACTTCATAGAATGAACAACCTAGACTTTTCAAAGCATTAAAAATCGAAAAAACACCATGACAAGTTATTGTGTGAACATCTATACCATCTTGAATACATAAATTAATTGGTTTAGTTAAAAGGCAAATTAAGAAATTTGTTGTTGAAATTTTTCCACCAAGAACATAACCAATATGACATTTCCAATTTCCTGAAAGCCCAAAAAGCATAAATACAAGAGCCTCAGTAGCTATGTTATTTGAATCAAAAGCAGATATATTGTTTTCATAATCTGAAAAGCCTTTATAATTATCATTACCTGGATTATTAACAAGACCTGATTTTATATGCATTGAATAAAAGATCAGCACACAATCTTTATACACAATATCTTCTAATCCTGTTTGTTTTAAGTAAAGAAAAAGTCTTTGAAAAAACCAGGTGTGCAAACAATAGATTAATGACCAATCCCAGAAGAACTTAAAAAGTCAAAGAAAATAATGACAAAATTTAGACACAAAATGAACATAATTCAAGTATTAGAGATCATTTACATTTCACTTGCTCAGACTTCAAAAAAATTACAAACAATACGAGAAAAGCTAATACCGAAAAAATGACCTATATCAGCTAATATAACCTTATCATTCTCAAATTTTTTTTTAATTATTGTGATTTTATTTATTGTTATTTCTTTTGTTCATAGAATTTTTTTGAGTATTTATTTCTCTTTAAGGTATAACATAAAATGAAATTAATATTAGACTATGAAATAAATAAAATATATAAAAAAATTAAACCATTCAAAAATCAATCATAGATCATTAACATAAGAAAGTATGATTAATAACAAGCCAAGTGTTACAATAGCTACTCATTGAGATGAGATAATATAGACATATCAACAGGTGTTTCAACATATTTAAACAAAAATGATTCTAAATCACTATGGTTTCCTATAAATTTTTGATTTTTGAAATGAAAATAAAAAATTATTTTTTGTTGTAAAAATAAAAATTCTGCAAAATCTAATAAGTTTGCTAAAAAAATTTTATTTTACCAAAATTTTATTATAATTTCGAAAAAAATTAGTATTATTAGCAGG